GCGGAATCTGCCCGGACGACCAGCGGCGCTTCTGATTGGACATTTTGGTTGGACCCCGGTGTAAATAAAAGAAGCCCTGCGGCGCGTCGCGATCGGCGGTCCTATGTGAGAGGCGTCCCCGTGTCGGAGTGCCGACATGTGTGTGAGTCAGCGGTCTTAGGCGAAAGGCTGAACTATGTGTTAGAGAGAGAGCTCGGCTCTTCGAGTCTCTGTCGGCCCCAGTGCCGAAATTGTAACGCCTCTGTATATATGCTGTACATAAACCTTGTTTAACTCACCGTCGTCTCGTCCGCTCGTCTTATCAGCTCTGCGCAGAAGCAGTCGCGAGCTGATAAACATACGCTACCAAACGGCTGGTGACCTTCCCGGCGGAGTTGAAAGCAGTGGCGCCTCCGGGGCCGTGTTGGCGTCGCCGTCTTTCGCAACAGTGGTGGCTTCGGCGGGATCGGTCCGCCGTTTCTCAGCAATAGCCAACAACGTCAACGCCCGATAGCAGTCTTCCGCCTGAGCCAGTGGCGTAACCAGGGAGGCATTACATTGTCACGGGGGTGGTGAAACATCTCCTTGATACTTTGTATGCGCATGTATACGCACACACATCAACACACATGCGCAAATATACATCAAAATGATCATGACGCCCTGGAAAAGAACTTTAGGCTACGCCTCTGGTCGGAACCCGTTAAGCCTCTCACTCTCCCTTTCTCCCATGTCATAACAGCACAAAGCTGATTTGATGTGTGAAGTTTAATGTCCCAAAACCACCATATTATTATGAGAGACGCTGTAGTGGAGGACTCCAGAAATTTTGACCACCTGGGGTTCTTTAACGTGCACCCGAATTCGCGCACACGGGCACAGCATTTTCGCTTCCATTTTCGCACCCTGCGATAAAACCACAAAGTTCAATGTTCTTATATTGTATCTTTAAACTCTTCTGGCTACCTCGAAGTCGCTTAGTACCACCCAAAAAAGAAGAAGAATACACGCGCAGCATATTTTAGTCGCCTAAGATGACTAGGGCAAAAATTCATGCTTTTTTTTCATTCAATCTGTACATCTTCCCCTCACTCCGACAGTTTTCTGCACCTAAAGCAACGGTGGCCCTTTGTGATTGGCCCACGTAGGGTCAAGCTACAATGTCATGTGATGACTTCATAGTGGCGGCACAAATTTTGGCGATATGTGACGTAGTCGCGTGATGAGAACCGTTGTTGGCGAATACGCTGCTTGACACCAATGCCGGCGGGCAATTTTCTCGTTTGACGGGGCGTCGACGGCCTTCACTTTAAAGTATCTCTCGAATACGGCCCGTCCTATACGACCCGCGGCTGTTTTTCACTCTCCCGCATTCATCTCCATAGCTTTCATCTGACTCAGCTGCATTGCGTTCGTGTCCCAAGCGACGACATTCACAGACGGGCTGACCTGGCGCGCTGTGTATGCGCAGGATACAGGAGAGTGCCCAGGTCCCCCCCCCCCCCCCCCCTAACGAGGCCCTCTTTGCCGAAAGACTATAGCTGCAAGAAGAGGAAGGAGGAGGATGAAGGCGAGGTTGCAGCACCGGCAGCAACATCGGCAACAGCCTTCGGACACGTCGGAGACGTCGTCCAGCTTGACGTAGCAGCAGCAGCAGGAGAAGGCAGAGGAGTCGGACAGGTCCCACAGGGTTCATTAGCATGCGCGCGCGCACAGAAGCGGTGGCGGCGTAGGACCCGGAGGTCGTCGGCCTCATCGAGCATGCCCAGCCCGCGGCAACTGCCCGCTCCGATACACTTCGGCACAGGGCCGGCCTGTCTCCGGAAGCCACCGGCACAGACTATTCACGCCCTCCCCCCTTCCTTTCGCCTAGCTGTCCGGACTTCTGTACAGCTTGGCCCGTGGCCTCCGTCCTTCATCCGGCGTGGCCGGGCCATTCAGTTCATTTCACAATACGGTGAGGCATTGAAAAAAGATGAATGTATCTAAAAAAGAAGCATGTGAGAAGTCTGGTACTAACGCCCCAGAGAGGAGCCTTCCATGCGGATGTCGCAAGCGGCCTAGAGACCTCTGAGAAGTTGTCCTCTTAGGTGTCGAAGTGAGGAATGGTATTTTCTACAGGTGTTTTTCTTGTTTTTTTTTTCTTGGTTTATTGCTTCACTGTGCAGAAGCAGGTCATTTTCTATAGTTTGTAGTTGCAGGACGTAACTCTACGAACGATGTTCGGTGTGTATGTCGCAAATTAAACAGCATACAGAAAGGGAAGTAGAGAAAGCACCGTTACGGTGAAAGTGAAGGTCGCCGTAAGATTCAATAATTTAATGTACTCACTCCGGTGCGACCAATTGCATGGCGTTTCAAATCACAGTGTTCACATCCCATTGCGATGGTGCTGGTAGAAGTGGCTTTATATGTAGAACAGTCTTTCACCTGTCAGCCCCGGTGTAGTGCTGCACGTTCTGCGCGAATGCATACACTTGTTTGTTTCGCTGATGTAGGAATTGTGATTCTTTATATAAATAACTTATAAATATACACTAATGATGGAGACTAAACAGCGAGAGAGCAGGCTTGGTGCTGCCATCGAGAGGGACACGATGCCATGCCTACTCTTTCAGTAGAACTAATAAGAATTAAAGAAATGAATATAGGAACAAAATAAGAGGATGCTCCAGGCGTGAGAGAAGGGTGCAGGGAGCGAGAACAGAAATCAAACACTCCGCATGGCCTTGATGCCATCCTTGTTTCTTGAGCATTTTTCAAAGCTTTTGACAATCTCTTAAAACCTAAAACATATGTGTCTAGTTGCGATATTTGAGCCCGTACGATCTTTTCTCTATTGTCAGCTCACATTTTGAGTGCTGCGGTTATTTTACTTTTCAGCAGAGAGACTTGCAGCTCTTTTTTCTATAGGACTATGCTTAATTCAGTCGCAGGAAAGAGAGGATGAGAGATCTGTATTGCGTTGGCGTACATTTCGAATACATTGCCGTGCACACTGGAGGTAAAATGCAACCTGGTTAACCTCCCTGCCTTTCGTTTGCCTTTTTATCTCTGGACTCACGCAGGATGTCTCGTTTAATGCATGATGGTGTGATGCGTGAAATATGTGCTTTCGAAGTAACAAAATTTTAATGCGCGTTGTTTTTTTGCGTGTATAATAGCCTTGCCTACATTTCGAAATCGCGAAGCCTGACCTTCCTTGTAGACCAGTTTTCCTCTGTCTCACTTTCATTCGATAAATAGCTCCGGGGGCCGAATCTACAAAGCTTTCCTTTCTTAAGGAATATTTTCTATTGGCTGACCGTCTTTGCTAAGTGCATTCTTTAGATTGGCTTGAAATTTCTCTTTCGGGAAGTTATACAGCGAGACACTTTTTGTAGAAGGCCGGCCCTGAGCTTTATATTTTCTTCATCACATAAACATATGTAGGCACAAGGAGAAGAACTCGGCTGACTTTTCATTCAATAAAAGGTGTTGTGGCGCCGAGGAACCATGTCTCGGGAAGGCAACAAGATATTGGCAATGTTCTAGAGCAAGACAACGCAAAGTTTTTCAGGAGAGGTTAAGTTTGCAGGAAGAAGTGAAGCTAATTGAAGCCATGTGGTGAGCAATAGTTTTTTTTTTTTTTGCAAAAACAAGCAATTAAGATTGCGTCACACTCTGAAATCTGTCACATTCAATTAAATATTTTTGTTTCAGAGGCCCAATATTTCGCGTTATCAGTAATTTCCAGAAACCTCTTAAAAGACAGCCCCCAAGCACGAGTTTCCGTACTTTTGTGCGACGTCATATTTTTTTTATTATTGTCACATAATTTTTATTTACGTAGCTCAACCTGCCTAGATATACGTTTCATGATGTCAGCACCTCAGGTGAAAATGTCGCCAGACTGCCTACTATGTGAGAGAGAACGTGATATATTAGGATATCATATGTTTGCATTACGTGTCATTGCATTGTACAGTGGTATGTCCTTGCTCTTCCTCCTTCTCATTTAGTTTATTTCTCTAAAGCACGGATAATCAGCCATTGCATCGATCTTTGGTCGTAGTTTGTTCTTTCCTTAGCACTAAAAACAGACATACCTGTGTGAAGCGTATACAATACGGCCTGGCATAGAGATAGCTTGCTGTAGAGAACGATTGCAGCAAGAAAGGCTTATGGCTCATTCTATGGCTGTTTCGAACTATTAGTCTTTAATTATGACTTATGATTTGATATCTGCTGCCCAAACCCCTTACGTTAGTAGAAGCAGGAAGCCTTCGTTCGTTTTGATATTACCATTGCCGAATCACTGAATGCTGATGTGTGACGACTTATTTTCTATCTTGCCCTTTTTTCTTTGGCGGCTACTCGATTGCATTAACTGCATTGCATTATCACGATTTTCTCGCTGTTTAATGTGTTCTTCCCCGTTTGAATTTTTTTTCATCATAGGTCGCCCTACTGTCCTCAAACTAAAGACCTTAGTCTGTTAAAGTACTTTTCTTACTGGAGCGTCCTTATGTTTATACTAATGATAAGGAAGCCTACAGCATTCGAGCATATAAGTGCCACTGTGGCGCTCGAACTTAGTTCGACCTTCTACAGTAATAATAATGAGACAATTAGGTGACTGGTGGCTGAGTAGTAGTGATAATGAGCAAAAATAGTGGACGAATATGGTCAGTGCACCGGAAGGCGCGGAGAGTTGGGCTGTGAAATTATGGTCTTTTTTTTTCTATCAAAAAATAGTTTCAATCGAAGTACAGCCGACTTGAAACAAACGCAAAAGTTAGTGTTTTTTTTTTATCGATCTTGGTGGCGCACAGGTCACCGCCCTTTTACAAAGAGGACGCCCCATAGTATCCATCCATCCACTAGCAGAAAGTCATGGAAACTGTGAACTCGTACAGCTGTCGTGCTACAAGCGTTGTAAAATGCAGTGCAAGAGTCCCGAGTCCACAGCCTTCTCACAAGTCTTCTGTTTGAGAATGCGATGTGGAATCCTTCGAGGCTCGACAGCATGGAGAACGTAGTAAGTTTTTAAACAGGGGAGTTTATTTCGAACTCGAAACACAACCTCCAGTACAAGCGACAGACGCTGTCAAAGCAATGTTGAAGCAGAATTGTGTCGAGTAAATAAAATAATTGTGTAGATGCACTGTACAATTGTGCCGAAATGGACAAAAAATTTACCGCCGTGATAGACAATACATACGGTGATAACAAGTTAACGTGGCATGTTGCTCGCTTCGTATATCGCTATACGAGCGGGCAAGATGAACAAGCGAAGCGAGCCTTTCCCAAGCTGTCTTCAAGTTAACATTGACAAATCTGTCAAGGTAACCAGAGACGCTGGTGGGCGATTGTACGCAATAACAAAGAAACAGTGGTACACACGCACAAGGCACAAGAAGCATGAAGGCACGAGTCGAGACGGAAGTACACTGACAAACTTTGTACATAAGTGGCCTCAGCAAGAAAAAAAAAATAAATGTTTCAGTCAAAGACCAAATACCGTATAATAACATAGGAAGGTCATCTCAAGAAATCTAATGTAATATGGACTGATGGCTTGATCTTACCAGAGTGACAATTTTTAAACGTTCAAATCACACAGATTTACACATATTAAAAAGCACGTACCTACAGGCATGCAAACAAAACTGGAGGCTCGTAGAATACTTTTTTTTCTGAACAAATAAACTTTCAGCATTTGGACCGAGTTAATTATGTTTAAGGTAATGACTAACCGTATCACCAGGGTGTGGTGTCCATTAGGGTGTGTCACTGAAATTTTGCCCTTTCTTTGCTATCTGATGAATCATTTCCTTTTTTTTTTGTTTTTACAGAAATCAACGTTTCTCCACAGGTTGCGAAGGTTCTTCTTAATTAAATCCACGTGGCACAATTTGACAAACGGAGTGAGAGAGGGAGAGCAACAATTTCACAGGAACTCTACAACAAAAAGAACAGTGTACAATAACTTTTTTTTTTCAAAAGAGAGCGAGAGCAATAAAAAACAAAACACCTCAGCGAAACCCAACCTCTTTCACCATACACTGATTCACAGCAACACTGCGACGATACCTTGATAATATATTAAAAATGGGGGAGGGGGATGGGGGGAGGGGTTGTTCTTAGAACATACTGCCCGTCATATCACGGATATACGGGATTTCACTCTCGCCTAAACGCCGAGGTGGGGGAGACGGGACTCGATTTTTCCCCAGCGCCATCTCAGGGCGATACGCATCCCCACATAGGGCGCGACCGCTGGCCTCTGGGATCGAGGGACTCCCTGTAGAAGGACCGAGCACCAACGCGGGGGAATGGACGGCCGAGGCAACCGCGTCATTTACCGCGAGTAACTCCCGCAACGGGCTGCGCCCAACGTCATCCCCGACGTCACAACCCAGTCCCACTCGTCGCGTCGGCGAAAGGCACATTTTTTTTCTTTTGACGAAGTACGCGGCAATGGGGAAGCTGACACACATTTAGAAAGAAAAAAAAACGCACATATAAGAATACACGGCGTTCATGGTGAGGTCTGCTTGCGTCGGCTGTCAGACAGGCGAGACGTACTGTAGGCGGCAAGAAGCGCGATACGGCGCTAATCTTTCATCTCGTCGTATTAGATTTCACGCAACATATTTGAAGAAATACCAATAGAGCGGCGGCACGGGGAAATGTACAATGTGGAGGCGATGAATTGCGCGGCGGATTTTGACACCTATGCGAGGTCTGACCGATTGATGGGGAGGAAATAAATAGTAAGATGTTCGAGAGAACGAAGGATGCGACTTCAACACGTAGCTTTAAAACAAAAAACATGAAATAATATATAAAGCACAATGAACGAGGACAACATCCACTTGTTCCTCTATTTCCAACAACCTCTTTTCGTGAGCGAGATAGACATTTTACTGTCTTCAGAAACAAAAGAAAACGCTCGTGTGACTCACTGGTAGTTTCCTTCAAAAAAATTTAAAACAAACAGGAGAGCACACAATTAAGTAAAGTCCGGCACAGTCTTCCCTCTTTTTTGTTTCAGATCACCGTCCACTAACATCACCACCGGTTGTGTGTGTCACAACAAACACGAGATCCATGTGTAATAAGTGTGTGTGTGTGTCCGCACAATCAATAGTTCGTGGCGCGAACAAATAAATAACTGGAATGCAAAGAAAAAATTGTATAAAAAAACACACTGAACAACTGCAAACAGAGGACACATCATTTGAGTAAAAAAACAGAAGTGCTTGATAGAAGCAGTAAAAAAATAAAAAGCGTCGCGAGCAGATCGCCGGCGCAGGAAGACCTCAGCATGCACGCTTAGAGAGATGGAAAGCATCCACCATACAATCCCGGACCAGCCGGGAATGTTGTGGGGTTCAGAGGGAAAAGGAAGCGAGTAGCAGCAACAGCAAAGCTGGAAAACTGCGGGAAGGGAAGAAGGACGTCGAAAGCGAGGCCACACTTTAGACAAAAAAGACGTCCAAGTTGTCACTGGCTTAAGTGTGCCTGCTTCTGTGTACAGAACGAAAACAACCTCCAGAGAACACATGCCCATCACAGCAGCATCACCTTTTTTTATATATAACCTGTTCTTGCATGTGTTGTTAACTCGTGCGGGTTCAAAAGACCTGATTTTAACGGTGGTGCGAATAAATATATTCTGGCTAAAACAAGTGAAGCTTCTAACTGCTAGTTTATGGGCTTTGTGTCCCGAAATTTCGAAACACTATCAGCTTATTCGTCGTGGCGGTCAACCATCATCTTTGAATTTTCACATTCAGGTTTCCTTCTTTGCTTTCATTGTTTTTTCTTTGCTTTTGCGGATTGTAATTTAACTAAAGTGTTGTGCACATTCATACGGTCGCTACTGAGAATGCGACTAGTGTTTCTCCGGGATTTTCACATCCACTGTAAGCCTCGATACACGTTATGCCCACGGCGTAGGCACTGTATTCAACACAATACTGAAACTTTGGAGAAAAAAAAACAACAATATAGCAGCAGGGGTGCGAGAGAAGCAAAGGGGAAGAAGGCGACAGGGCAGTAAAGTATTTCGAAGAGAAATATGCGACAAACACGGTACAACGCACACTGTTTGCGTTTCGTTTTTTGGGGGGGAACCCAGGCGGCCACGAATGCACCGACCGAGGCCCAGAACCAGCTGAGAAAGCCTGGTCGGGTCGGGCCGCCCTTACAGGGAACCGGGATCATCAACAGCTGTAGGGCGTGCAGAACTGGTACACGAGCCGCTGCGAGCGCTCCGTCTTCTTCATGATGCCCTTCTTGTAGTACTGGCGGATGGAGCGGCTCAGCTTGTCGTAGTTCATGGCCGGCCTGTTCTTGCGCTTGCCCCAGAGCCGCGCCACGCGCACCGAGTCTTCGATCTTGAAGACGCCCCGGTTGCGGTCCAGCCAGCGGATGCAACTGCCGTACAGCTGCGGCTGCGACAGAAGCTCCTTCAGGAACTGCCACAGGTGGATGTGAGACGACGAAGGGGCGCGGGTGGCGGCACCTGACGTCAGGGCGACGCCGGTGGCACCCAGGCAGCGCTCGGCAATGTCACTGCTCGTGTCGCTGGCGTCGTCTGAAATGAGACGAAACGTGTTAGGTTAGATGAGTGAATGAATTAGTAGTGAACCACAGAAGTCGTAAGCCTAGGCAAACGGTACAGCACCTTGTCGGCGTTGTTCACAGCGAACTCGTTTTAATAGTCCAATATAAAGCGATGTGAAGAGATGAGGACAACAACAACAACATCAGCAGCAACAACAACAACAACAACAACGACGACGACGACGACGACAAAACAACAGGACTAGCCCTGCCCTCCAACGGTCTTTCTTTTAATCCCTGGTAGATGCTTGTCTGATAGCACTGCTTTACATTCAATATGAAAACCAATTGATTGATTGATTGATTGATTGATTGATTGATTGATATGTGGGGTTTAACGTCCCAAAACCACCATATGATTATGAGAGACGCCGTAGTGGAGGGCTCCGGAAATTTTGACCACCTGGGGTTCTTTAACGTGAACCCAAATCTGAGCACACGGGCCTACAACATTTCCGCCTTCATCGGAAATACAACCGCCGCAGCCCGGAATTCGAACCCGCGACCTGCGGGTCAGCAGCCGAGTACCTTAGCCACTATAGACCACCGCGGCGGGGCAATATGAAAACCAAGTGGTTCAAATCAAGTCACTTGTTCATCCCGCGCCTTAAGTAAGAATAAATAAAATCTGAGTTTTTTTTTTTTTGCTTTGTGGCAGCTGAAATATGTGCCACAACCCCATTATTTCTATTGTACTTTTTTCGCAGTAAAGAAACCCAGGAAATTCATGAAAAAAAAAACACGTAAGTTCACACGATCAAGCAATGCTGTGGTCTCCAAAGAGCGCGACGTTCGTGGAGCCAGCCAGATAAACGGGGAATGCCGACAAATGCTGCCGACACTAGCAATAGAGCATTACTGCAGTGATTTAGGAGGACGTGGCTAGCGGAAAGTGCATATTGTTGTTGCACAGCATTGTGCCAATGGGTACTCGAACAGCCTCTAGTGCAACGAGCGAAGATCAATGCCCTTCTAATGAACTCACGCTCTTGCATGCTTCACCCAAACTCGGGAGTTCGAAGCGATTAGTGAAACCTCGTTTTTATTCTTGATTTTTGCAACGCTTAAATGGCTTTAGTGCGTAATTGGGCACAAGATATATAACGCAGGTCGTCTCGCGTTCACATTCTGGAGCGTTGAATGGCGCACGATAACGGTGATATTGCACCTAGCTTTCATCCGCCGAGTGCAATGTAGAAGGGCAAATAAAAACAACTGCCGTACAGAGATAAGAGAAGATACGACGCTGGCGTGGAGAAAGAAAAACCGACGAAGCAGAAAAAGAAGCGCGGACAACGTCGTCGCCAAGATAATGCCAAGGGTTTTTCAGGGATCAGAGTGAATTGCTGTCATGAGTCGGGTCACGGGAATAAAACCCGACAACTAGCCCATTTCTCGTTGTCTCGTCTAAGGCATAGAGAAAAACGAGGTCCTTTGAGCTGCGCAGAAAGGTGAATTGCCAGAGGGTAGGAGGCAAGTAAACAAGGGCCCCGGGCCAGTTCATTACTTGAATCGTAGCCACATGCGATGCGAGTAGATCGTAGATGCGACGAGCCAACACGTACGCCGCTGGTTGGAAAGAAGGTCGCTGTTCGTGGGATATGCCAAGATTCTGTTTGCCTGTTCAACTGACGATTGAAAGAGAACCAAAGCAAGATTCTTTCATATAAACGACTACCTTGCATCAACAGAACGTAAAAGGGAATGAAACGAGATTCTTGTCGAAATCTTGAGGTGTACGACGCTGCTACCTGCCCTTACGACAGGTTCAAATTGCCGCTACGCATCGTTCTCTATTCTTTCTCTTAATCTTATCCGTATAGCGCGTGACACACTTCTCCGGTGCACTCAAGCGAGCGGTCGCAGCGAACGAGAAATTAAGTTTGACTGCACAGGCGACACGGGTTCTTCTACTCGTGGGAATCCATGGTCGGGAACACGCAAGCGGCCACAGACGCGAGTCTCGATCCGAGTCACTAACGCTGGACCTCGCTTCCGTTGCCATTCAGCGTACTGCTTCAGTGCTCAAGGTAGCCACAGCGATGCACCTCAGTGCGCCATAGCCACGAAGCTGCGAATATAGTGTCAACGGTCCTCTCTTCTAAGTCGCTTCGTCGAGTACTTGCGCAGGAAGACATCAACCACCGGTGCACGCGAGGCAACGGCAACGGCAGGTGTGCTAGCGCTCAAGGTCCACTGCTCCTGCGGTGCGACGAACCATGAGCGTAGGGCACCCACACAACACCCACTCCAGTCGCGGCGACCCATTATTTCCCTTTTCCGGCCACGGCAGTCACTTTCGTGCCCCCTTTTTCTTTCGAGGTGTCATCCCCACGTCGTGTTGTTTTCTTGCACTGTTTTGTTTCTTTTACGCGAAGCACATCAACGCAACGTACGTTTCCTTTGTGAGAACAGAGCCGCAGAACAGTGACGCGTTTGTTACGAGGCGCCATGCAAAGAAGTCCACTTGGCGTAGAGTGGCGAAGTGTGTCGTACTAGCAGCTCTCATCAAAATAGAGTGCTCTTGGAAGAGTGGTAGATGGAAGGGTGCGACTGTAGACTGTCTCCTAACACAGCTTGAAAACAACCTTTCGAGCACATCTCCAAGCCCATATTCTAAAGAAACGAAGCATCCCAACCCTGCGTACACCAACTCTGCACATACATTCTCCATCATGTTATGCGCAGACTTCGTCATGTGCTTAGCGAGAGACTTCCCACAGTGTTCCGTTGATTTGTTGTCTTTTTTTTGTTCCCTCACGCTAGCTTGCTGAGCTCGCGCCTTGACCTTGGCACCGCTGCAAGATCCTAACCTTTATTATTACTCGAGGACGTACACTGTCACCTCCCACCACGCCACGCTAGACGGATGCTATCAGGGACGACGCCAGACTGGCGCTGTAACAAGACGTCGAGCCTTAGTTGAGGTAATGACGCCGAGACAGGCTCAAAACATAGGTCATGCATCGCGCTTTATAAACGGTCTCCAAGTCGGCCAGGTCGCTGTGGACGCGCCACGTAAGCACGGCCCGGAGAACAGCCTCGTAGCCCGACAGAGAGGGGTCCTGGGATGTCCAGAATGCCGACCGGCGGTTAAGCATCCGAAAATCAAAGGTGAAGAAAAAAAAAAAAGACTCGTAGCTGGAGAGAAATGAGCGGGTGCAGTAACCATGCCCCCTGAAGCCGCGCCAAACACGGGGGAGCCGAGGTGTACGTATGTATATTCATTCCTTTGCCCAAAGCCAGTGAAGCCGCGGCAGAAGTAGCAGCAGCAACAGAAGAGATAATGAAAGTCCGCTCCCGCTTGTTTCGAAGCGTTCGAGAAGAGAGGCACCACCATCGGACAGGCAGGTGCGCCGCCAGCCCAAGCCTGAAAGCCAACGATCAATTCGGCTCGGCCTGTCCCGAGCCGGGCCAGCGGTGCACGGCAGGAGAGAGGTTTCGGCGGAGGGGGTGGTGGCGATAAACGAAACGGGAGGGCAGAAAAACACAAGGAGCAAGCAACAACAACGACGTCGACTCGGGAAGAAGAAGACGAAGAAGAAGGAAGGAAGATGGGACCGGCCGCTCAGGCCTTCAGACCGTTGCCCTTGCGGCTAAATCAACGAGAACGCGGGAGAAAGAAAGAAAGGAAGAAGGAGCAATAACGAGCGAATAAAACGAAGAAAAAAAAATGAAGCCGCGCGGCGGGCCAAGGCGAGGACTGAGTGCGCGCGCCCGAGCGCGCCCCGAAATGAAACTTTTCTTCTTCCCCTCACCCTTACGGCGGCAACACCCGAAAGAGGGTAGGCGGCTTTGGGAGAGGGTGAACGGGCGGCTCGAGTAGCTTCGCGGAGTAATCCACCACGCCCTGTTCTCTTCCATCCACGCGAGCCTTCGCGAAGAGGTCGAAACAAGAGGGGGGGGGGGGGGGAATCGGCAGCGAAGGAGATGGCACGGGGAGGGTCGGCTCGAAAAGTGGAAGCAGGCAACCTAGCGAGAGGAGCCGACGCCCATCGCAGCCGAGGGGGGAAGGAAACCGAGCCAACAGCGGCTGTGGCGGCGGCTATAAAGATTCCAGGCCCAATCGCCGCCGGTAGAACGGCCGCATTCCAGCGTCGGGCCCCCTCGAGCGTCCAGCGAACTTGGCTGCTCGTCGGCTCTTACGGCAGCATCATCGTTCGAGCCAGTTTTTTTAGCTGCCCCCCTCCCTCCTCGCCGACCACCTCTCCTCTAGATGGGCGGGAAGTTGAAGAACAGGTTGCCGTTCGGGAAGAAGGTAGTAGCAGCGTCGGCGGCAGCTCTGACCCGAGTCAGGTTAGGCTTCTGGAGAAGCCACCGATGCTGCCTTTTTCAAGGCGCTGGTGCCGGTTCCTACGCCGGTTGCGTGAAGGTGGAGAGGGATGCGTCGGATGGCCGAGCCCAGCTCTTTCCTTCGGCCGCCATCAACCCCCTCATCTCTTCCCCGTCGCTCGAAAAAGATCGGCGGCTCCAAATTGGGAAATTTTCGTGCCTCTCTGGCCTGCGTGTGTTTGTTTTTGCACGTGAGAGCGCGCTGAGAACTCGCGGAATACCAATCTCTCGCTGGTGGCGGCCAATAGCTTTCGCCCTCTCCAACTTGTCGCTCTTCGGGGCAAATCAAGCAACACCACCTTCCTTCCTCCTGAAACCTCCCAATTCCACCTGCCTCTCTCCTTTCCTACCTCCCTCTTTGGATCTAACAGCCACAGATACTCGCGTTATCTCATACCCACAGTTTCGAACCTGCACCCTCACCCCCGCTCCTGCTTACTCTTCAAGACGTCCATCGCCCACGTACACCAGTCCTCCTCGCGCAAAGCCAAGTTTAGTGGCGCACTTCTTTACAGCGGGGCCCCTTTGTTGCGTGAGCAGCGGCGTAAAGAAAGAAAAAGAACGAAGGCGAACCGGCATGACTGGTAGCTCGTGTTTTTCGCAGGGGGGTGTTCAATGTGTAATTTGGAAGGACCCCGAGAAGAAAGCTCGTGAAACGCTCGCAAAAAAAAGAAAGAAAAAGAAGGAAACACAGCGAAAGGAACAGCCAGCAGTAGCGACGACAACCCACTACGTCTACGCGAACGGGCGACACAACGAGCAGCGACTCGCGCCATCAGCGCTGCTATCAGCGGAAACGTCGCCCCTACCGCTGCGCACGAAAGCCCAGCCCGCGCTCACTCGAGGTGTACGTTTTTCTTTTGTTGTTTTTTTTTTACTGCTGTCTTGACTCACGTCGTTTCGACGTTGCTGCAAGACCGGCGGAAAGGCGTCATCTGGTCGCTTGTGTCTGCTGAGCTACACACACAAACGCACACAGCCGGAGCTTTTATGGCGCTACGGCGGGCATCGCCGACAATGGATGGACGTCGCGTGAAGCACGTATCCAGCAGATGACGGTATTGAGCGTTGAAAGTGAAGACTACGAATTGTTCTTATCGCCGTAACAGAAATCAAGAGGGTGCCAGCTAACCTCGACAACTGCTCGTACGAAATAGCAACGGCTCTGATTTCTTCTCATCGCTTACTAAGGTTCACAACCATGCGAGGGTTCTTTCACTATGTCAGACGAGAGGAGCGTTTGCCATGCACAGTTATGAAGAGGTGTAGAAAAATCGGGTAGAGATCTGATCATGTTGATGACAATTACGAAGGAATCAATGGATGTAAATGTTCTCTGAAGAACAGGTTACCCACGTCCAGAGAAGAGAAATTTGAGAGAGTCGTCGATGGTTTACTTGCTCAAAAACGCTGCACAGCGAACATGACACCAATCAAATTTATCGAATACAAACCGTCAGATGTCAATCAAGTGCGGCGCGTTTCGGCGAGCAGTCTTATGAAGCGAAACAAAACCGTAGTTCCATTTACGCTTGATATTGTTATATTATCGGCAGCTTGTAAGCAGTAAACTGTAGGGCGAGTATGTTACTTAATCTATTAAACACCTTTTTTTTTTTTTCGCTCAAGTCGTTTCTACGAAAAGAAAAAAAAAGGCCGAGGAACTGTGGTTACTGCCCTAGCAACGCCTTCTTTCTCGACTAGAACGGCTGCAGTGCCACGTCAGCTGCTCCAGCACCTAACCTACACGGTCGTAAGAACTGATAAGGTTGTCGCCGTCCGTTCAACAGCATGTTGCATGAACGAGTGCAATGCCGCACAGCCCTGATTCCCAGACACCCTACCGAACCGCTAGCAACAAACTGATTACGACGTTCCTTTTTTTTTTTCTTTCTAAGGCACGTTGCCGGGCTTGTTGGGTGGGGTTGATCATTCATGTTGGTATAGCGCACCACGACAAGGACACACAAGAGAGACGCTGTGTCTGTGTGACACTTAGCGGTGTGTGTGTCTCTCTCTCTTTTGTGTCCATGTTGTGGTGCGCTGTACCCATATGAATGAAGATTTTTTTTTTACTAAAGGTCTCGCTACCCTCGCACATAAAAGCTATGCCAAATGGCGTAAACATCAGGTCGAAAGGACATTCTTGCAAAAAAAACTCTATTGACCTTCATAGCAGAGGTCGGTTGACGAGCCGAATGATTAGCTCAATGTGCGTGCTAGCGCAGTCGAGGATCGTAAAGAACTAGCGCATGAAACACACGATACCAAGCCTAACGAACAACAACAACGACGACAAAAAACGTGCTCTTCACTGCAACCGAATACGGAGCTAAGCGGTAACTGAATGTGGATGAATCGAGATGCGTCGCAGCCGTTGGACTAAGTGACAGTCTCCCGTTTTATGTTCTCTCGGCGTCAAGCGAGGCGCAACAAAGGTACGCAAATCTCGGGCCTCACGGCGTTCTGTTGCTGCTGCTAAGAGCAAGAAACTTCGCGCAGGACGAGGTCTTCTCCGCAGAACCTCCATGCGAGAAAGGCAAGCATTCCTCGTGCAGCGGCTAGAATGAGAGGGTTTTTTTTTTTTTTTTTGTCTTTTACAGTTTCCCTATAGTTAGCAACATTTTTGCAATTGGCGAACAGCACGCCTCAAAGTTTCTTCACGCGTGCTATCTTAACATTTTTCATGATATAATAATACTTGGAGCTTCGTCTCTTAGAGAGAGAGAATAAATTGAGAGAAAGGTAGAGACGTCAACCATATTGGTTGCATGTGGTTTACTACCCTACAATAAGGGGGGGAAAGAAGGAAAGATAGATACCACAATAACACAATGGGATTACGAGGATAGTAGGCGGGGCACCGGAAATTTGGAGAGCACCACGTGTTCTTTAACGTACACCTAAATCTAAGCCCACTGACGGGCTTCTGGCATCTTGTCTCCATCTAAATGCGGCCGTCGGGTCCAGTACTCGAGCCCGCGACCTTCTTTAACAGCTCCTGGAATATTATTGCTGACGCTAGCCTGAGCCGTATACCTCTACCATTTATAGTACCATTTCCGCCCGAAAGATCCTGCTCGGCTCTTTGAACACATCTGTACCTCGTCGGTCAATACACTCTTTGAGGACCTGTTGTTGTTCCCCGTCGCATACAGTTCAAACGCTCACTTATTGACGGGATGGCCTGGAGGGGCTCGCTGCAAGAGTTTAGCCGGTAGAAAGTGTAGGCACGGGCGTACGGAGCCACTACTCACCGTCGCTGTGCGCGGCGTCACTGTGGCTGTCGCTGTGGTGGCTGAGGGGCGGCGAGGCGTCCGGCGTCCCGCTGCCCGAGATGGTTTGGCCCAGAAGACTGGCCAGGTCGAGCACGCTGTCTTCGGGGCAGAAATGCGTCGACCGTTGCCCTGGCTGCTGATGATTTTGTTCGGACGTCCGCAGGTGCGCGGCTGCGCGAGACAAAGAAGCAAAACAAAGGACGTCACTACCGCGTCATGTAGGAGTCTGCAGCTATCGCACACACAGAAAGACACAAAGGACTTGCCTCCACGCATCTATAGACCGTGTCTTTATTCACGTTTTGATGTCGGTATTTCCCTAAAAACGCATCCGTTTCTAGAGTAAACCTTTTTTTTTTTTACTTTTTTAAGCGGCATTCGAAGTGGTTGTTGTTGTATTGAATATGTTCAGTGGTAGCCTTGCTGACTTCCGAGGCGCTAAAACCACGTTTTCACATATATGTTCGCGGTTTTGCAGAGTGATTTGTATTATTCAGAGCTTTGCGTTTGTCGCAAACAAGAAGCCTCGCTCGGTGTTGAAATAACTTTAAAACGGTTCGACAGATTTCTGACACGGCACTGACATACATGCTACGCGTGTTATTTATAGTCTACCGACTTTTCAGCTTCTTTGCTTCTCGCTACCTATCTGCCTGTGTCAGCAGCTGAACCCTTTTTTTTTTAGGCACTTCCTGAGGTAGTGTCACTCCATATTCTTTGCAGCATATAGTGTGCTGCTCCCTTGCTTTGTGGTAAGAGGGGGACGCGGATAGCTCTAACCTAGCGACGTCAGCAGCGATAGGAGGCATGTACCGCTATTTGCTGTCGGCGTCATATTCAGAGCGCGTTTGCAGTTCACCTCGCAATACGATGGTGACGATGACGACTTGCTGCCGAAAGAAACGTTACAACCTCGTAACCCAACCTTTACAGTCTGATACGCGCTGGGATCGTGTGCATATTTAGTGGTCATGATCTGTTTGACATCATGTTTTACTTGTGGCTTTCAAGTCAACACTCCCTATAGGCAAGTTAACGTGAAAGGGAGCTAAATATGACTGCATATTTGGCAGTTCTCCACGCACGTAAGTCGCTCTACAAGCAGACTACGACTCTTTGTTTTACTCCTGATTGTCATACAATTCTCTTTCGCCCCTTAAACGTGCCATTACATCACCGCGCCGTTGTCTGCTGTCTTTGTGTTTCTCACACGCCTTCTTCTCGTCTCCGCGCTCCTTTCAACCTTTTCCTCATATTACTTTGTCTCTGTAGTGTAGGATAAGAAACCATAATTTTCCAGTCTGGTTAGATTATCTGCCCTTGCTTCACCTCTCTCTCTCTTAGAGCATGGCTTTTGCCGGAAGTGCTACACCAGTGGCCCACAAACGACTTTGAACGTAGTGCAGTGATGGTAATGAATTGGTACAGCGCAAAAAAGAAAAAAAAGATATGCACGTAACATAACTTCAGCTATTTGGGACAAAGGAGTGAAGCCTTGAAACCTCAGGGGATAAATTTCATAAGTATTTAGAGAATTGTGAACGAATTGTACGGCGAATATAAGAGCTATAGACTAGACTGCACTCTGGAAAATAAGGTGCTTGTGTCTCACATGAGCTTCAAAGAGGCGATTTACAAAGCTTCCGCTAAGTCTTCTACAGTTTAAAGAGAAAAAAGTCTAATGGCTGGTGGCTTAATGTAATACTCACCACCTGAAACCCACTAAGCGCCTATCATGGCTAGACGCGTACAAGGTTATCATCCGCACATTAGTGCGGCGAACACTATCAGACCCCCGATCGTGAGAATATTAACAAAAAGGAGCTTTCAGTCACCCCGCTGCGCTATCTGGCTGCATACAACGGCGCGCTTAATGTTCCACTGCAGAGGCACTTGCGCGATAGACATGTCTGCCTACAGCACTCTCTGTCAGCAAGCCTGTTTTTGTACACCTCTGAAACACAATTTGCAGTGTGTGCGCAATATTCTCTTCGCTTAGCAATCGTAACCCTGGAGACTGCCATTGTTGCTATGGTATATATTTTTTTATTCTTCATTCACAGACAACCCCGCTTTGCCCAGAGGGGTTCGAGCAAAAGGGCTTACAAAAATGGAAAAAAATATACATCTTCATTGCCACTGTTCACTTGCTCAGACAGCTACCTGCTGTATTGATTATTGGTTTTCAGAAAAAAAAAACGAATTTCCGTACAGGTTGATCCTGGCCCGGTACGGCCTTATTTTGTGTATGCTATCAGTACGTTTAGATATGTAATCAGGCTGTTTAAGTAAGCTTCTCTGTCAATTCCTGTTTTATTTTGAAATATCTGATGCAATAACTTCAAACATGCTTTTGTACGTCGAGAGGACAGTTAGTCACAGTTTAATTTATTTTTCATTTCGGTACAACTGTGATTTCGTACATACCGATTCAAGACAAACCTGACTGCTCTGTTTTGAACGTTTTCTAATTTCTTCATAAAGCCTACTTGTGACGGGTCCAAAAAAGTACAAGCATATTCTAATATAGCTGTCGCAGCTTGTTCGACGAACGACGTCACAGTCCACCTCACCGTCTCGATTGGCAATTTGTGCTGCGCTACTGATTTAGACATTTGGAGCTGTTACGAGCCCAGAGTAAAAAATACGGTAGCGTCAGTTTCCAACGTAACCACAGTTTCTCAAGGCATCGACAGCAGCACTGCGAGCGTGTTTGCGATAATGGTGTTGCATTTTACAACATACTTCACTAGTACCAATTACGGTAAGCTTGGGACAATTTGCGATGGTTTGAAGGTTGGATACAACACCCATTTAAAACGAAAAACCGCGACAACAAAACCATAAAACGAACATTAGCGTAGCGATGAATAATTTTAATGCAAACAGCCAGCCAATCGAAAAGGCGATTGTGCGATTTATACCCTAATTCAACCAGAACTTGTTTTTTTAACAATGGTTGGTTCATACCATAATTCAACCAGACATTTTTTAACAATGATTGCTGTTCCTGAATATCTGCCATCCATCGTTGGGATTCGAATAGGACATTAGTCTAGCTTGGCATCTCAATATTTCATTTCATGGATTATGCTCATATCTGTTTCTTTGGTAAGATGCCCCGACACCGATGGTTGCCACGGCTACGTCTCTGTTAGATACGGAACCATCGATTACATCAGCGAAGCGATATAATATATAACAATCGCACTCACCAGACTTCCATATTTCGAGCTGTGCGCTGAAGATGTCGCCCGATCCTGGGGCACGGATTCTGAAGTCTTCCTCGCTGAGGGAACACAGTGCGGCGCCGTTCATGTTGAAGTAGTCGGTCCTGAAGGACGGGCAGCCGTACTGCTGCTGAGTCCACACCAGCCACGAGTGGACATTAGCCACACTCCACTGATAGGGATCTGTGCAAAACGAGAGGAAAAAAGAAAAGAAATCTTGAAGCCTTATGCTAGACGCCTTATTCCATTAGTCTTATGCTACATACATTTCAAGGAAAGAGTTTGTTCAGCTTCTCTTCTCAGCAGGCAGTTGACAATGGATGATGCAATGCCAGCACGGCCGATCGATGCGCATGCCCTCTAATTAGAGCGATATTCCGTAATGTAACTCTTTTTGTTTCTGCTTTCCCAAGGTTATCATAATTTTGCGCAATGCTTCGAAAAGCCGAGGACGAGAATAAGGCGAACATTCTACTCTCATTATTATCGTTATCATTTTTCACGAGCAACATCAGAGGCATCCCATTTATTTCAGCACACAGATCGGCCTGAATTGACGGTTTGATCGATTGTGCCAAAAGAACGAAATAAAGTAGCACAAATACCGACCCATTGTCATCATGCTTGCACATCTTGCAGGTGTGCTTACAGTGTAAAAGTAAGCCATTTCCTTCATTCACATTTTCATGGGGAAAAACAATTCAGGCGTATCACCATGGAGGGCGCCATTTTGCAGCCCTAATTAGGGATGCTTCTCTCATTTCCCATCATCATCTGCTACTCCCCAACGCAATCTCAGTAAAATACTGATGTGAGTTGCGAAGTGCCATGTCCAAGCCCTACATATTACGCAATCCTGTCATTAATTCATTTCTCTGCGAGTTGCGGCTCGCAAAAATATCAGTTATAAATTACCGCCATCAAACAAGAAACATTTACGTGGGCCAGACATAGCAACGCCGACCAAAGAGAACTAAAGAAGCACGGCCTCGAATCGTATGCGCTTCAATCGTGACTACACGGTGTAAAATCTTGAGGGAGGGAACAAGCCCGGCAACTTCCAACACGTTTAAGATGCAAGCAGGCGAACGCGCTGCCATTGAAAGGTTGCGCGTTTTGGGAACGCCCAAAGGGGCGGTGTCAAACGTATATAGATTGTCGAAGAGGAGACACTTTTGAGGATGTTTCACTTGTAATGAAAGCCGGCGATGTATACCGGCATGTCTTTATATCTACCCATAAGTTATTGCCCGACATGCTTACTTAGTTTTCTCCACTTTCCGTTTGTTTTTCTCGCAGCAGTCGCGTTAAAGTGGCCGGCACTCATAACAGAAATCAGTTCATCCCACCATTCAGATAAACGACTAATGAGCGGGTAAAAAATTTAGATCGGCTTTAACTGTGTTCAACTGAGATCGAGGAAACAGTCAATTCGTAATGGTAGGACGCGATCAGGTTGAACTAGACATTCCGATACTCCTCGTGTTTGACTTGCGCCTTCGCAATTTTACACGAATCTACGATAACGTCACGCCAGCTAAATCTGGCTAAGCTTCCATGTTGGGTTAGGTGACAATAAATAAACTGCACAAGGTTGCTTGCTCCGCTCGCTGACGTCGCTTCTGGTTTGTACATCGAAAGAGAAGAGGCCAGTCTATCAAGCGGAGAGCGGCACGCAAAATCTGCGGATTCGACTTCGGGTATTTAGCCAAAAAGTTTGTTTAACGATTTTACTTCGTGTAAAGCAGCATTTCTTCGTCGAAACTAGAGCTGCACAAGAAGGTACGGCGGTCAGATATCACATATTTATTGCCATAAATTTCTCCAAACTTAGGCCTACATATTTCTCCAGGCTTGTCCAGTTTGGTTAACAAAACAGTAGCAGCATCTTTCACATTTTGCATATGCATTTAGGACAGCCGGTAACACTGCCAAACCAGTTGACATTACGCAAGCAAATGGAAGTGGCACAAACAGGTTGAATCGGCCTAATGCATCTTTTTCTGTAACGCTATTTGTTTCGACAAATGTGTACAAGTTTCGCAAAATGATTTCGATGAGTCAGTTCACTTAACTCACAATCACAAAAAACCAAATGTTCAAGTTCTGCGTGGGTCCATCAATCTCTCACATTGAAAAACATTTCCGAAAATTGCAGCTACTCCCCATGTGAGTCAGCCTTTTTTGTGCAATAATTGTCCGCTTCGTAACCAACAAGCAAACGTGGCACAATGGCAGCGTCTCTCGACAACACATCTCCAGTGCGAGACTAAACGAAAAGGGAGCAGTATGAAAATTCGCACTAAACAATACTTACTGCTAACGTATTTCAGGCGTAACATGACAGTACAAATGAGAGCCTGTGAGACACGGGGGTTGTTATCAAGACTGTACTCTGCTTCATTAAAGCTCAGGTGGATCCGTGGTCGGACCACCATGGTCCGACGCCCGCACAGTATCGTAACATGAATTGTTCCCTTTGCGCTTTATGCTCAGTGAAATCCTTTGCGTAGAAATGCCTTGTGCCTCTAAGTTACTTTCTTAAATTCTTGTTTACGAAAACTATGGCAATATGCGCCAAACTTTACGATTTGCGTGCCTAAGGAAGGCGCATTTTTCCTTATCTATAGAGGCACAGGTCTTAATCAGATTGCAGCTTGCTGAGCTGTGCACTTGTGACATCCATTGAGCATGTCACCTAATTTTTCGTCACGACTCACGCAACCACTTTCTCTCTCTTTTCTTACAAGAACTACAGAACACACCCGCGCCCACAAGCGACTGCGATTGGAGATGAAAGAACAGTACTCACTCGGTGAGATGTTGAGGATCTGGCAGGCGACGTCGATGTCCTTAGCAGCCTGCTGCATGGCGAGCAGTCGAAGCTGGTCCAGCTTGTCTGCTGACAGTGACGTGCAACAATCCGCGGCCGCGTCACTTTCTGCACAGTCCTCAGTCTTGATGGCGAGCCGCTGGTCGTACGAGGGCGGCGGAGGACGGCACGTCTTGGCTGGTGCGTACGCCATGGCAGCGTTGCCGTTGCAGCGCACTAATCCAGCGCATGGTTCGTCGTACATGCTGGGGCTGCCCGGCTGAGCCACCATCGCCGCGGAAGCAGTGTTCCCAATCGCAGTCGGTGCCGGCGCTGTGGTGGCTATCGCCGTGGGCGCCGAGCGCGGGGGAGACGCGACGCAGTTCTTAGTCACATTCACCAGTTCTTCGAGGAGCGCAGGATAGTCCAACATGGCGTTGCCACCGCCGTTGTTCATCATGCAGGACATGGGTGACGAAGGAGCCGACTGCGGCTCTTGCTTGATCCGGCATGGGACCGGCGGCCCACCGGAGACGCCGTTATCGGACTCGTCGAACCACACGCCCAGCTCGTTCATGCCCCACGCGTCGGCCATGGAGACTGGACTGGCGACGCCCGCAGAGTGGCTCGGACTCGGGACCAGTTGATGACGCTGCATGAAAGACAAAACAGAGCGAAAAGATGAACACGACAGATCACAGAGCAGTGTTACAAGATACAGAGGACTGTTGCCAACTCTCGCGCCTACGTCATCGCAGTTCAAGCAACGATTTCCACAACAACCGACCATCTAACTCGTTGACGCCCATTGGAGAGGAACTACATCAGCTGGTTTGATGGAACAAGGTAATGCTTTAGTCGAAAAAGTTCTTTACCGGGCTCGTCATAGAGGACGTCGGTTCATGCGGGAACAGGGTGTGCCAAGGAGGCCTGGCGGGAAGGCGCGTTTAGCGTGGCATCGGACAGTGGTTCGCCTGGTGGCCGCTCTCTGTTAGCAGAGACGGGAAGGGGCCCTCTTTGCCGGCGGCGCAACGGTGGGTAGGAAGGCTGGTTCGTGGACGGCCTGGCCGGCTAGCGACGGCGGAGAGGATGGGTGTGCGCGCGAGACGAATTCGCCATTAGGAGAAGGCCACCGCTCCTTGAAGCCAGGCTCTTGGCAGGCTGTACAACGCCGCCACCGTGGTGGCATCTCTCTCCTCGCCCAAACCGGTTGGCTCGACCCTCGGTCGTGTGATGCTTGCTAAGCTGTTGCTGCCACTCTCGGCACACGGGCGGATTGGGACGAGCAGTAAGAAGGAAAAAGACTAAAACCAAAGGAGGGCGTAAAAATGGGCTCCGCTTATTCCGCACGTGGAAGGAGAGTGGGGGAAGGAAGGGTCTATGGCAAACAAACAGGTGCAAATAAACGCGATCGGGACGTCGTACGAAGTGCCTTCCCAGGGGGTCCACTGATACTGTCTCTTCACGGTGGCGCGAATGCCAGCCTATGGTGCGCAGGACTTCGCCCCGATTGGGGCAAACACAGTTGTATTCGAAAGTGACCGCTTGTCAGGCGGACATGCCGGAAAGCAGACACGAACATACGCAAAACCCGGCAAATGCAGGTGTAACAGGTGCAGCAGGTGATAATGCTAGAGTACGCGAGGTGGGGGGAATTCTGTCATTTCTGAAATTTTATATCATCATCATCATCGCAGTGGCAGGGGCAAATTGATAGTATAAAACGAAAACTATTATTTCAACTGTGGGAGAGGAACATAACATAAATCAAGCCGGAACCTAATTGCGGGACCATCATCACTCAATCTGTTGATATACATATCTAAATAATTTATGTTATAATCAACCACAATATAAATTACTCACTTCCATCCGGGCACCTGGCAGTATGATTTTTAAGGAAAAAAAAATAGCCCTGACACGCCCCTGGAAGCCGCCCTCAGTGTAACCGGCATCGCGGCAACAAGCAGCCCGCGCGCGCGTGCACGGCGATACTCACGGGTTCCACGGCTGGGTAGTGCGGCGAAACGAGCGACTTTAACATTGCTACCTCACGCACACATCACGCACATGAACTATGACGCGACCGGCGGGCCGCTCGGGTTTTATACGGGGCGGCGCGCGCACGTGACTTCAACACGGCGTGACGTCACGCCTATCGACGTCGTCGCCACCGGCGGCCGCTCGGCGCGACTTGCGCGCGCGAGAGACGCGGCGGGAGGGCGGCGCGAGACAGCGCTACGATGCGCGTGGCGCTCGGAGACGCGCTGCTACGGCGGCAGGTCCCGCTGAGAGGAATGGACGAGACCGATTGCCGACAATGGTGACAGCGGCTCTGAGTGCGCGAGTAACAAAAAAAAAAATCTTGCTGACGTTAGTGCGGGAAAATGACAGGGCTTTATTAAAGTGATAAAAGTGGGTATTTATTTATTTATTTATTTATTTATTTATTTATTTATTTATTTATTTATTTATTTAGCAATACTGCTAGCCCCAACATGGGGTCATAGCAGAGTGGGTGTACATAGTACAACAAAATCAACAATACAATACTGAAGTCAACACAGAACAAAGCACTTCAAAGAGAAACAGTAAATAAACTTAGACTCATAAATCATTATTCGAAAACAAGACTGTCGTTAATTCCACCACCAAATGTATAATAATAAAAGTACAAATGAAAGTCAATTCGAAATTTCAATATTATCGTGGACGTGTCTGCGCATACAACTTTTTGATGATATGTGGGGTTTACCTTGCGAAAACCACTATATGATTATGAGAGACGCCGTAGTGGAGGGCTCCGAAAATTTCGACCACCTGGGGTTCTTAAACGTGCCCCGAATATGAGCACACGGGCATACAGCATTTTCGCCTTCATCGAAAATTCGGCCGTCGCAGCCGGGACTCGATCCTGCGACCTGCGGGCCAGCAGCCGAGTACCTTAGCCACTAGACCACCGCGGCGGGGCGTGGCAGTAGTAGTAGCAGTAATAAAAGCAGTGGTAGTAGAAGTTGTAGTAGCAGTAGTAGTAGTAGTAGTCGTCGTAGTAGTAGTAGTCGTCGTAGTAGTAGTAGTCGTAGTAGTAGTAGTATAATTACAATAATTGTTGGAGTTTTACGTCATAACAACACAATATGATCATGAGGAACGCCTCCGAAAGTTCCGACCACCTGGAGGGTCACTACGCGCGCTTTTATCTAAGCACAGTAACGCCTAGCCCCGTGAAAATTGCTGCCGCCGGGGCCAGAAATTCGTCACAGTGACGAGCGGTTACAGTGAAACTAATAATTTGGACCAATCACTAAATGCTTCAAAACTCTGCTGTTCTTATATTCAACGCCAGAGGCTTATAAAAAAAAGGGGAGGGGGGTGGATGAAGGTCCAATCTTTATAATTTATATTAGCGCCGAAGTTCCTACGCGTGCATGTTAAGAGTTACATCACGGATATCAAAGGTATTTTTTGTTAGTTTCGGCAACATTGTTTCAACAAGAATTGCATATATTTGCATAAAAATGGCCGGCACGCTCAGAGAACATCGAAAGTTTCCTTTTGCCTAATAAGGACAGAGCAGGCCCTAATAGAAACATTAAAAATCTGTGACATAACAGCAAGTTGGTGTGGGAAGTTCAAGCTGGCTCGCTACACGCCTTGTTATTTTGCACAATTTCTCGCTAAGTGAGTGCCGTCTTACGGCAACAGTACCTGTTTTCTTTTCTTTTGTTTTTTACTGCAGTGTGAACAGCGATAAAAAGATACCACAAAATAAACACGCAATGAACCCCAGATGAAACACATTGGAAGGGTTGTTACATGACAGAGTCGAAAGTACCGACAAATACTACATGATTTGGACCTACGTGACGGAAGGCCGCACAACATCACATGAATGCAATGCAAAAAAGCATCCGTGCACGCGCGCGCGTTCGTGTTTGTGTGCGTGCGTGCGTGCGTGTGTGTGTTTGCGTGCGTGTGTGTGTGCGTCCGTGCGTGTGTGTGTGTGTGTGTGTGTGTGTGTGTGTGTGTGTGTGTGTGTGTGTGTGTGTGTGTGTGTGTGTGTGTGTGTGTGTGTGTGTGTGTGTGTGTGAGCGAGCGAGCGAGCGAGCGAGTGATACAGTACCAGTGACTTCTATGGGATATGTTTAATTCCGTAAAAAAAAAAACATCATGGTGCACTACTGACAGTGCTGCCGGCTCTCTCTCTCCTTCCAGCCTCATTTATTTGGAATCTCAATGTACTATATAACAGAATACTGACTATGATCAGTAACTTTAAACTCGGATAGCCATTTCTAGAAATATCTGGAAGGCGAGCAGCGTTCGCGTTTTCCAACATGTCTGATACACACGGGCTTCGTGTTTTTTGTATTTTTTTCAGGCTGAAGGAGGTTCGGTCACAGTCATTAGTGCGCATGATGCTGCGTGCACTAATCGATAAGGAGAAAATAATTTCTAAGGTCACTAAACGAACTTGTGGTTGGGCTAGTTCGTGTGGAACGTGTGTTCGTGTCGAGTGGACTAGCGAGGAAATTTGTTTCCACAATTCTGCCGAAGCAGTTTGGTGCCGCGTTTTTTTTTTTTTTTTACCGAAGGGAGATACTGTCGTAATGGGTTGTTTTTACCGACCACCAGACAGTGGTGATACTCCTATGACACTGCTTTCTGAAATGGTACAGTTGATTCCAGACAGTGTACTCCTGAGTGGAGATTTCAATCTACCAGATTTTGACTGGATATCCAGTGGCACACAAAACAGGTCGTCAGTGTATGTTTTGTTTAGTGAATTCTTGAGAGTGTTTGGTTTTTGTCAATATGTGAATGTTCCAACGAGACATGATGCCATTCTGGATTTAATATTATGTAATGACCCAAATATTGTTTCCACTGTGTCGGTGATTCCTGGTATAAGTGACCATAAGGCCATTGTGGCAGATTTAAAGATAAAATACTGCCAAGTAGCACAGGCAATACCCCGACAAAGTTTCCTGTATGAACAAGGTGACTATGATTCTGTTTCTGCAGAATTAGAGTTGTATTACCCAACATTCTTGCTTGTGGCAGAAAGTCGTTGCTCTTTAGCTCAGTGGTCTTATTTTCGTGGTAAGCTACTTAACGCAGTTGAAGGTCATATGCCAAACATAATACTAAAGAAGAGAACAAAACAAAAGCCTTGGTTTAATAAAGACATTCGCAGGTTAATTAGGAAAGCACGAAGTTCATACAGAAAATTTCGCGATAGGAGTACCACGTCCAATGAACAAGAGCTTAGGCATGCAAACCTGACACTGAAATCGGCAATGAAAACAAGGGAGGATACTTTTTTGCCCAATTAAGCGATAGGTTAAAGCAAAGCCCGAAAGATTTCTGGAAGTATGTGAAACAAACTAGAAAAGACGATATGCGTATTCCTGCTCAGACCGCGGAGAGTGATACTTTGTGCACCGATAAAGAAAAAGCTGAAGCTTTCAACAAATATTTCCAATCAGTTTTTACTCAAAGCACAACTGGTGATGTGGGGGCGCTTCCAGGCAGGTGGCCTTCCATGAAAGACGTGGAGGTTGACATCACTGGTGTTGATTGCTTGTTACGGTAGATAGACAAAACTAAAGCAGTTGGACCAGATGGTCTATCACCATTTGTTCTTAAAAACTGTCACAGTGTCATTGCAAAGTACGTATGCGTTATATATAAAATTACACTAAATACTGTAGTTGTCCCACATGACTGGAAAGTTGCAAACTTTATCCCGGTTCATAAATCAGGTGATAAAAAGCTTGTCGAAAATTACAGGCCCATCTCGCTAACAGCAATTTGCTGTAAGTTATTTGAGCACATCATATACAGTGAAACAGTTAAATACCTAGATTCAAACAACTTCCTCACTCCATCTCAGCATGGTTTCAGAAATAAACGCTCATGCGTAACTCAACTAGTCGAATTTCAGCATTACATCGCACAATCTACAGACAGTGGCGCTCAAGTAGATGCAGTGTTCCTTGACTTCCGGAAAGCCTTTGACACCGTCCCACACAGTCTGTTAGAATTTGCAATGCTCTCTGCAAACATAAACCTTAAAGTTATCAATTGGGTAAAGAACTATCTAAACGATCGACAGCAGAACATAGTGCTCAACGGCTCAAAATCATCTGCGGTAACCGTTACGGGCGGTGTATACCACACGAGAGCGTATTAAGACCTTTGCTTTTCCTGATTTATATTAAAAGCTTCTAACTGGTGCCAAACTTGGCTGATGGAATTAAACATTAACAAATGTAAGGTTATGCATGTATCCCGCAACCCCAAGCATCAGTCAACTTATTACCTAAACAACATAGCTTTAGAACTAGTTACATCATATTAAGTACCTTGGAGTGCACATTACAACTAATCTCAGCTGGTCAACACATATTGAACATATCATCAACAACGCTAATAGCATGTTAGGGTATTTACGCCGCAATTTTTCTAGAGCCCCATCGTCACTAAAATTATCGCTTTACAAATCCTTAATACGCCCCAAGTTAGAGTACGCAGCATCTGTATGGGATCCAAGCCAAGAAAATCTTATCGCTTCTCTCAAGCTTGTTCAAAATAATTCCGTTCACTTTATCCTGTCAAACTATAACCGTACTGCCAGCATATCTTCAATGAAAAGCAGCCTTTCCCTTCCCTCTTTATCATCACGCAGGAAACTTTTTCGGTTAACCATGCTGCATAAAATATATTATTCCTTCCTGCGCAACGAACTCTTACCCCAACCACTATACATTTCCCATCGCATTGACCACCGTCACAAGGTTGGCATTAACTATTATCATACAAAATCTGCCACTCAGTCATTCTTGCCCCGTTCGTCCCGTGAAAGGAACCACCTTCCTTCTGAAATTGCGGGTATCACCGATGACCAACTGTTCCGTGCTGCCTTATCCAATATTGTATATGCAGAAATATCTGATGTTTAATCTGTGTTTGTGTGACCACATTGTTGCGATAATACTAATTTGTTTTGTCTTTCCTTTTCCTTTTTATGCACACAACGTTTTTGTAACCATGCTAC